GAATGGTTTAAAATGAGGAAAGGTGTGAATCAAGGTTGCATCCTTTCATCATACTTACTCAATCTGTATGCTGAGCAAATAATCTGCGAAGCTGGAAGAAGAATGTGTCATCAGGATTGGAGGAAGACTCCTTAACTACCTGCAATATGCAGATGACACAAGTTTGCTTGCTGAAAGTGAGGATGACTTGAAGCACTTGCTGATGAAGATCAAAGACTCCAGTCTCCAGAGTAAAAAAATCAAACTCACTGCCTTTGAGTCAATTCCAACTCATATCAACCCCCACTGGGTTTCCAAGGCTGTGGATCTTTACAGAAGCAGACTACCTAATTTTTCTTCCATGGAGTGACTGGTGGGTTCAAACCTCTGACCTTCTGGTTAGCAGCCAAATGCCTTAAACCACTACATCAGAGAGCCTTACAGTCTCCAGAAGAAAGGAAATGATAATAAAAATTAGAACAGAAATAAATGAAATGGAAATCATAAAAAAGAATACAAGTTGGTTGCTTGAAAGGATTAATAAAATTGACAAACCACTGACAAATTTAACAAAGGGAAAGAAGAAGAAAATGCAAATAACATGAATAAGAAATGAAACTGGCAACATCACAATAGACCCACTGAAAGAAAAAGGATATTATGAAAAACTGCACGCCAAAAAGTTTGAAAACTTAGGAGAAATGGATAAATTTCTAGAAATGCATTACCTACCTAACCTAAAACAGACTTAAGTATAAAAAAAAATTGAACAGAGCCATAACAAAAGAAGAAACTGAACAGGTCTGCACAAAGGATGTGTAGGTGACATCCTCTGACCTCCTCTAACTTCACATGGGGGAGACAAAATCACCATCAGCAGCATCAGCCCAAGGCTGATCCTATGAAACAGAGATCACATATGCCACTACCCTCCAGGCTTTTTACCATTTCTGATACCAACCATCCCTCCAATGGCACACTCTACTTCTCTTCTGGGTTTGATAAATAATTGCAATGGCCACACAGAACTCACAGACAATATCCATGATTATGGGGTTTATTAGGTAGGCAACAGGTTAAAATTCAGGTTCAGGAACACTAAGGACACAATTCTTCGATCAGGACAGCTTCCCCTCAGTGATGGCCCCAGGCACACCTCTCCTAGGCCTTCAGACTCTTGGCCTGGCCTCTGGCCTGGTTGGACAAGTGTTGCAAATCTAGTGTTGCTGATAGATGCACCATACTCCATCAGCAGGCCCCGTACCTAACAGCACTCAGTCTTCTTGCTCTGCGGGCTGGCAAGCCCACTGCTCCGTCTCATGCTGGTCTTTTGGTTCGGCTGCCTCTGCTGCCACCAAATCTTTGCCATCTCTCTGCCATGGTCTTAGTGCAGGGATCTCAGGTCCAATGACACTCTCCATTCCTGGCTCTTTCCTGTCTTGATGGTAGTGAGATCACCCTTTTCCACCTCAGGGAAGACTCATTTTAAGCCTTGCAAAATGGCAAAACTGACCAATCCTCACATTAGAGTTTTATACACTTTATTGCACACTCCTACCCTCACAAAAGAGCTCTGGTGGTGTAGTGCCTAAGGCATTTGACTGCTAACCAGAAGGCTGGCAATTCAAACCCACCAGCCACTCCTAAGAAGGAAGATTGGGCAATCTACTTCCATAGAGATACCACCTCAGAAACCCAAGGAGGGGTCGCTATGAGTC